ATGACAGCAAAGTGGACTTCTTAATCATTTTCCACAATTAGCAAGAACATTTTGCTAGGTATTAGGTGGCTTTGACGCAGGTTTTGTTAAATTGGACTGGTGTTATTTASCAGCTGGTTGTTATTTAGTGACAGGGGCTATTATACAAGTATTGTCATCTTGTCATCAATTAGTTTTTAATTAACRTGAATTTAATCTTTTTTCTCCCAGTTGTAAAAGGGGAAAAAAAAGGGAAAAGGGGAGGGAAGGGGAAACAGGAAAGGAAAAGTAGTCAACAGCAGGTGTATGCAATGTATCCACAGCAAAATATCTGCAAAATTTCCCCTAGCAATCCATGAGCCTAAACACTGAGGGTRCTTTCTAATGTGCACTTTAACCATTACAACATGATGGGCTACACTAAGTTCTAGTGTCCCCTCCACATCTTTGACCTAGARCCACCACTTTCAGCCAGGATTTGCTCTCTCTCACCAGTATGGTCAGGAAAGTTAGTCAGTGGGCAGCTGYGTTTGCGCACTTAGAAAACTAAGGCTGCAAAACTATACATTTCCTGAACTTCTGAAGTTTTCTTTTTCCTTTTGCACCAGAGAATCCAGAAAAGGGATATCTACTCCAAAGTGAGGAGAAACAAGTAGTACAAGGAAAAGAAGTTAAAARGCTTACTATCTTCTCTCTCAGGGGCAGTTACCATAATTAAAATTCTGCCATGGATTTCCTCTTGAACACAGATCTTAGGGTCTCAGAGAGTAGCACAGRTTTGGGGGTCTATGTATGAAGAAAAGACCCCAGCAAGAGTGGAAGTGAAAACTGATAGATTCTGCAGAGTTTGAACTGCCTTTCTGAATGCAGGTCCATGAGGGCAAAGCAACGGCAGTGGGAACCAGCCTGGAGCACCAAGCAGCCCATCAGACCCCTCTTGGAGCTTGGAGGGAGGTCTGTTATAAAGGGGACACAGTAGACATAGAGCCATTGTTTCTTCCAAGCAGAACAGCCATTATGTTTCTGGATTTAAATACTATTTCAAGGTGAAGGATCAAAACAGATAGAAAGAAGATAGATAGATAAAGAATGGATAGATAGATAGATAGATGGATCAAAACATGCCTAAATACTCTTGGTTTAAGGGCTTATGATGCTTGCAAACTTAGATAAAAATGCTTGAGCAGGCTCACTAGTCACCAAGCAGTTACACACAGAAAGCCATGTATTACTCATCTGTTTGTTATATGGCCTTACATATCAAAACCCTTATCCTCAGAGCAATGCTGAGTCTAACTTCACTTAAGTTTCTTCATTCCTGGAGTTTCTTTGCAGGACTGGTCCACAGTTGCTGCCTGTTTTTGCACTGCTTACCCTGGGTAAGCTCCATATCATCCCTTTCCCAGGGCAGCATTCCCCACCAGCAAATTTGATTCAAGTCCTGATGAAAGGCATAATTTAGGCTGGTCACACTTAGAATTAAATAAGAGATCAGGTCTCTCTCTATCCCACCCCATCTCTTYCTTTTGCATCTCTAAATTATCTTTCAGCTCAGTTCCGGACTGAGTAATTTAAGTCTTATGAGAAATGAAAGTCATGGTCCATGGAGAGATAATGGTTAACTAAGAGCAGCAAAAAGAAAAAAAAGTTGGGAGAAGAGGGAAGATTTATCCTCTCCACCATGCTAAATCCACCTGAGTGGAGAAGGGTTATAAATCAATAGGTCTGATGATAGTTTGGTTTCTCGTGCAAGCTTATCATCCCATTTTATCCGGCTCATCATCTTGTGGACCTACAGACTGGCGATAAATAGGCAGCTCCAGAATGACTCAAGATGACATTAAGGAGAAAAATGCCTCCCATTGCCCTGTTTGTTTATGCACACTGCTTCCACTCCACAGTCATTTGTACAGCATTCACTTCTCGCCACCACTCGAAAATGAAATAGAAACTAAATAAATCACAGAAACCTGAAGTTGGGGGAGGTTCAGCAGTCTGGAGCAATGACACCAGGCAGTCTCAGGGGGGTCAACCTGGGAACCTATGCAGAGATATTTATTTCAATGAGCCCCATAAGAAATCACCCCTGCACTCCCCACTCACAGGGGATTACACTCACCCTCCCTTTTCCCCATGCTGTTGGGCAAGATGAAGACAAGAGGATGTTTTCTCCCCTTTGGACTCTATTTTTACCCCTCTCTGGCCTCTGTTTTTGCTGTAGCTCTCCAGCACTCCCATAAACATCCCTCTCAGTAAGTAAAAGTAGTCACAGAGATTCGGACCAAGTATCCTTCCAGCCCTGCATGCTTCTACCAGYACCTTCTCCAATCTCCTCCTCCTCTCCGCTGAGGGACTCCTTCCAATTGATGTGGATTTGGTAACCAACTGTGATCCATAGGCTTTGGTGAAAGGCTCTGCAGATCAGAACTTGCTCTCACTTGAGTGCTACTCCCAGTACGAGAGCACACACCGAAGGACAAGCATCAGTTGCCAAGGTCCAGGCTCTAGCTTACTGCTGGTGGAGGCACAAACATATAAAACACTGACCTTGGTCCAACCTTAGCTCTCAGTATCCACTACAGAGCAAAATTTATCTCTGTTCAAGCCCAGGCCTGCAGCTCTTGAGCTGGACCCAATTCTGGCTCTTAGCAATTATTATCAGGAATTATCTCCCTGTTAGCAATTATTATCAGGAATGTTCAAAGCACTGTGCTTCTTTGCTGGTTTACAATGCATTTGGAGCTGTGGCCTCACCTTAGAGTTTGCTGCACCTGCAGGCCTGTGACTTCTCCTCAGTTACTCCTGTGTCTCCATTAACAGGCCCTCAGGCTCTAATGAACATCTCTAACAGCCTCACAAGCTGGAAACGTGCCATGGTACCTGCTTTACAGGTGGGAAGGTGAGGAGCAAAGAGACCCTCACTAATCTGACCAAGGCTGCACGGGAATTACAAAGCACCACTTCATTTTCAACTTCAGTCATCAAAGTTTCCCGTTGGCACTTACATCCTCATGGCCATATCCAGGATAAGAAAACCCCATCATTTGGAAATATACTTGTAAAGAAACATTCATATAGCACATATATTCATATAGCACTTCCTATACAGAGGTCTCCCTATGAAGAGTCCCTGTTTCAGTAGTCCTTCCCATATTCCCTGAGCTAGAGAGTGACTGGAGGCGCTTCCCACCAAAYGGATCTTATGCAAGAGGCAATTTCTGCATGTGAAACTATTTGAGCTTGTTTATTTTCCCCTCCTTCCCAGTCCTGCTTGGCTAAAGCCGCTTGAACCTCTTTGGGCTTTGATGTAGCGTTGCCAGGAGGAGCCACGTTGCCTCCTTTGCCACCAGAAGCGCGAACTTTTTTTTCTCCTCGCTGCAAGAGCGTAGTAAATCAGAACAGGCTGACAGCTTTGTCTCGYAGCCTGTTATCCACCGGCGAGAGGATGCCTCCCCCGAGATCCCATTAGGTGGACTGTCTCCACCACTAAACTTCCAACAAGCACGTTCGCCAAGACCTGCATGTCAAAGAGAGCCCGCCAGCTAATGATCCCTGGGAATTCACTTCCTCTTGCTCTTTCTGTCCTGTGCCTACCTCTCGCTCCTTTCTTGTTCACACTTTATTTTCAAGTTTATTAAAAATAGGCTCCATTTAGTGAAGTGATATCACTCGGAGCCCGTGTAATGGCTCCTGCTGAAGTGATGCCGTGCGAGGTAGTGAATGCAGGAGCAAAGCCTCCGGCGTCACGGGCAGGGACTGGAAGCGATGAGAAGCTACAACGAATCCTGCCTTTGCTCTGCTAACGCTGACAGAAAAGAAAACAAGACAGAGTGACAGAGAGAAACCTCTGAGGATGCAGCAAACCCTCATTATGTCTAATACGGCGCTGGCCTCCCGGGTACAACAGGCCCCATCATTCCCAGGCCCAGGGGGAGGCACCCCCGGAGGCTGTGTGATGCTTCTCTCCCCTTCCCAAWATCATGAGCGTATTCCTGAACTGARGCCACTAATGGGAATGTGCAGCGGGTGGAGCGACGGAGCTGCAAAGTGGAAACCACACCAACAACATCTTGTATCTGTGAGGCAGGCTGCTGGCATTGAAAATATATCTCTTGGACACAACTTTGCAAGGCCTCATCAATACGGAATGTGAAGCACCAGCAGAACAGCGCTGGTGAAATAACTCATCCTGGCTTTAGCAAACAGCTGTCAGGCCAGCTTCAAAGGCCCCTTCTTCTCTCCCATGTTAGACAACAGTAAATAAGACTGAAAATTGCCCCACAAACCTGAGGAGCTGCCACAGAGACCTAGTGGGTCCTGTAGTGTCCCAGTCACCGTGTCACGTCTCAGTGACACTATGGATAGTGGATATGGATAGATGTGGATATGGATAGATAGCCTCTCTGCCACAAGAAGGGATGAAGGCTTTTAATCAGAGAGTGGCTAGGAGAAAAGCACCAAAGACAACAGATCCCATTTACAACCAYGGCTTGAATGTGTGATGAGCAGGCTGGAAATGCTCTCGCTCTCCAGGAGGTGAGCAGACCTTTGGCAAAGGCACAGCAGGGCATCTAAAAACCGCAGGCTGCTCATGGTAAATGCACTAGCCTTTCCCACCAGTAGGTCTGGCTTAGCACTTGCATTGCAAACAACAGGAAACATAGCGAATTTCTGCCTTAGAGCTCAGAGCTGAATAGGTCAGACACAACCCTGGACTAGGAAAGAAGGACATGATGCATTTGATAACGAAAAAACTATAGATATAGAAGTCCTTATCAAGATCAAGCAAGGGTACTATGAGCAGACATGTGGCAAGGAAAAAAAAAAAAAGGGAAGAAGAGGGAAGAAGAAGGAAAAAGAGGGAAGAAGAAGGAAGAAGAGGGGAAAAAAGAGCAAGAGAAGCTTACAAAGCATTTCCTGCTGCAAGAAGGTCTCTAGGAGCCTGTGGGAAGAACTTCTCAGCACTGCCTCTGCTTCTACAAATAGTTTTCTAAAAATACCAGAACCCAGCAATTATTACTAGAATTATTTGATATTTATTGTCATTCRCAAGATGACACAGACAAAAGCCACATACTAGATGTCAGCCAGACCGCAAACCAGTTCTCCCCTGTTTCGATGCTCCGGATGAGGAGATCGAGTGGCAGTCACTGGGTCTGGTTATAAAGCTTCACTGATTAGGCTCAGTGGGTGCAGGGCAAACTCCACAGCACATGCACTCCAAATTTTAGTCTCTACTGATGAATTCAGTCCAATATAACTTAAAAACTCACAGAATAATTCTAGTCCTACATGCAGAACATCATTGCAAGCTACTAAAAATACATTATCATTCCTCAAGGGGGTTTATATGTACTTACAAATATCCAAAGGTCAAATTTATGGCATTCCCGCTTCCTTGCGGCAAGAAGGATCTGATCTTAAACCTTGTATTGGCATTGTTGATGGAGTCTTGGGAGTTAYAGAGAGAGAGAGTTAGAAGCTTCTTCTCATGCTCCCTCCCAAAAACATTTCTTGATGCTCAGAGCCAGCCCAGAGGCGTCACACAGAAGACAGCACAGGTTGGGCTATCACCAGCCCAATGGAGAAAAACAATTGTTTTCCACATCCTTAGGTTTAATCCAAGGGTTTGCGTCTGTCCGTGCTTTCCAGCCACTTTCCTGTCACTTTGTGCTGAGGTGAACGGGAACATGGTGGAAATACCCTCAGATGTGTCCTACGAAACAAAACAGCTTCAAGCCCATTTTTCTCAAGTTTAATGGGGTGGGGAAATGATTTTCACCTAACTTGCAACGAGTTTCCAAGACAATCAGTCMTTGCCTCTGCTGGGGAGATCTTGCAGCCAAAGCAGAGCCCAAGGCGGGCTGCTCAGTGGGAGAGAGATTAAGCACAGGCTGGCACGAGGCAGCACAAGGACGTGTTGCTGCACAACAAATGCAGATGTATTAACATGAGAAACCAAGTCTCTGCAGGTGCAGTTCTGCTCCCYGACTCCTTTGCAGCCTGGAGGATCCCCAACACACACCAGGGAGAGCAGGGAGATACAGAGCTGCTACGAGGAAGGGAGATTTGGACTTGTGGACTGTTCTCTCCTTCTCTGATGCAGTGGCTTGTATGACTTGTGTTAGTTTAATAAATTACCTTTCCTTTTTTTTTTTTTTTTCCTGCAACAACTCTCCAACATATCAAAAGCAATGGTTCATACATCCTCAGCCCATAATGAAGTCCCCCACCAATGCACTCATGGCCCAAGCAGCATCCAAATGCTCAAGACATACCTTCTTGGTTGGCTACAAAGAAAGGCTGCTTGCTTCACACCCAGCCCCTCCAAGGTAGACTAATATTGCCTTCTCATCAAGGCTTCCTAACATCTCACCAAGGTAAGAAAACAATTCCAAGTCTCCCAGCACGAAAGATCAGTCCCCATACCTGGAGTTTTGAGACAATTTGGTATTGACAGGGGTTTAACCATCAGAGATGTCCAAGATGCAGCACGGTGATGCGGGTTGTTGGGTGCAGGAAGGCACATCAAAGAGTAGCTATGAGGAGCAACTCAAGCAGAAGAGTGAGGGACAGCAAACACCCTGTAGACTTTTCTGTGAGAGTTGCTTATTCCACAGCTGTCTGCAGGGACTATAACGAAGCTAGGGCTCTGCAGGTGGTATTTTACACCAAAAAGCACACATGTGAGGTGTCAGCGGTGAATTGCTGACCTTAGCTTAACCCTTTCTGAAGGTAAGAGCCAGAGTGAGAGCCGCATTTCTACAACTCCTAAGCTCCTGGGATCCATATGGAGATTTGAGTCTTAGAGGCGGGACTCGCATTCATCTCCACAAGAGCTAGAAATGAAAAAAAAAATACAATTTAATCCATCTTCTATCTTGTGTTTTGCTGGCAGCACCATAGGGGACCTCAGGACGAGACTAGCAGAGATATTGCAGGTACAGCTGTGAGTGTAATGGATTTTTCAGTTCATTTGGAAAACAAAACAAAGCTGTTCTGTGGTGACCTGAAACAGGTTTTTTTTTCCACTATAAGGAGAGAAACGATACAAAAAAAATAGCTTAAAATCAACTGAAATATCCTGTTTGACCAAAATGAAAACTTTAATTTTCTTTTCATGGCATTCAACCATTTCTTAATTCATGGTGAATTAAAAACAAAAAAATATTATCAAGAAAAACATTGTGGCTTTACCCAAAYCATCCTCTTTTCCTTCTTGGGGAACTCTGCACCAAATAATTTCGGTTTGCTTTTGATCTATTTGGAAAAGTGAAGCAAAGCCTCACTGCAAGCAGAACATTCCCCATCCCTGCAGCCTCTTTTGAAGCTAGGCCAGAGCATTAACATAGCTGCAGGTAACCGGTTGCACAGGGCCCTTCTTCCCCTTCATAGTTATAAACAACGTGACTAGCAACCTCAAAAYAGCAGTTTTAAACCCCTTTCCTGCCCGATCCAAATATCTATAATGAYGGTAATTCAGAGCTCCAGAAAGAGGCACCCTCCTTTCCCACCGATGGCCACCTGGTAATAAACTGCACAAGTGCCCCCCGCTCCTCATCCTGCAGTGTGTTATTAATGGGCTGGCATCCCTCGGAGAGCAGCAGGAGGACTCAGAGTAAACTGTCAGGAGATGTCAGGATTTGAGGCACAGAGCAGCTCTAATTGAAATCTTCTCTGTCATTTGCTCATCAGGAATGTAGAGCTCCTCCTTTGAATGAAACATTAGACACTGGCCTGACAGCTCCAGGTGGAAGATTATGCGGCAGCTTAATCGCTCCCTGACAGCCCCAGTTACTCCCACATCAGCATCTATTAACCTTCGTTTTATTCAGGCCCTTTTATGTCTTTTTAATCTGGGGCTCCGGGGACTTTGGAACAAGAGCTGGTCAGATCTCAGAAAGGATGGCAGAGCTATGTTTTGCCATAACAAAGTTAAGATCTTTAGCTGGGMAAGTATTGACTGTTGGGTCACCTACTTTTGGACGGAAGTCTTAAGAGAAGACAATGCCTTGTGAAATTAAACCATTTATCTGATTGAGAATGAGGTAACTGTTTTGCCCAAAGTTGAGATGTTATCACAAGAGTCACATTATTGGGGTATACTTTTTAAAGCCCCAAGTCACAAATGCAGAAGACACTGTGAAAAAATTCATTTTCATTTAATTTACTTTTTTTTTTTCAAAAGTTAGATTCGAGCCTCTCTGTTTGCAGAGAAAAGCTCAAACTTAGATGCGAGTTTGCCCTCAAGGTTCAGACACTATAAGACAGATAAAAAGGACCCAAAGTTTATCCTCTGTAAATCAAGACTGGATGTCTTTTGAAAATTGATGCTATAACTCAAACAGAAGTTATGGGCTTGATGTAAAAATTATTAGCTGAGGTTCCCTGAGCTGTATTATGCAGGAAGTCAGACTAGATGATGCTAATAGTCCCTTTCTGCCCTCAAATCTATGAATCCTTCTCCTATGTGCTTTGCAGTTGTCCCCTAATTGTCCTTCCCTGTTTTATATGCTTGGGTCCAGACTCTCAGTGGTGTTCGGATGTCTAGTATGAATTTTCATGGGGAAATAAAGGACTTCCAGCACGTCAATAAAAATCTCACTCACCTGCTCCAGTTCTTCGTTTCAGTGTAGAGAGTTCAGCTGCAGTTCCCAAAGACTGAAAGCAAGAAAACCCAGAGCAATGGGAAAACCTAGGGACTCTGGGCTTCAATTGCCCCAGCCTGGTGACACAGGGCAAGTCTTTATCACCGCTATATGTTGGGCTCAGCACCCTCGTCATTCCTTTTCAAGCAAAACAGAAATAATGATCTGGAAGCAGAGGAAGAGGTGAAAAAATCAGAAGGACTGAATGGGCAAATTCTCCTCTGATAAAGGCAAGACATSATCTTGCAGCTCATGAGTGTTTCCACACTGGGAACAGAGGGAAAGGATGGAAGTTAGTAAAGTGCCTGCATGGCAAGTTTCAATTTAAATATGAATGTATTTATATATGTATATATGTTTGTGCATATGTATTGATAGACAGAGAGATAAAACCATCCCAGAAAGCAGTTCCTGATCTATTCTTTCCAGATCAGTTTCACTGTGATAAGAAACAATCACTCTCTATCCCAGGCACTAAGACAAGTGTACTGCTCGATATGTCAGGATCAGATAATTAGCAAGAGAAGGGTCATAAGACAAGACTGCGACACACCTGCAATCAGCAATGTTGCCCTTAAATTTACAAAAAGGTCTTAAAGATTCTTTGCTTTCCAGGCTTTGATTTATCAGGCATTGAAGGGCACTATATGACACAACCATGATGGAGAGCAGAAGTGCTCCTGCAAGGATCTCAGATGTGTCCCTCCTGATTCACTATTGACACTGCGCCTTTTATCTCCCATTTCTCTAAAGCTAGAATTAGGAAAGAGAACTTCCTTTTTGCACACCACCATGTAAGATACTGGCACATCAGACGTTTCAAAGGAAGTTTCAAGACTTTGCTCTCTTAGAGAGTCTCAGAAAGTTCATGCAGGGTAACCTCTGGGTCCTTTTTTTTAATAGTCTGTGAATCTACTAAAATTAGTCTTTCAGCATGTAACACACCAGGGAGAACCTTGTGATTTCTCATGCCAATTAAGCATTGATAGTGCTAATTTTGGAAGTGTTGTCTCATATTCCAAGACAAAGGTTACTTGTGGCTATGCTATTAGTGRGTAACAGCACTCACTAACATGTGTTGAGCACACATGCTCAACAAGGATCTTCTGCTTCATCAAGCAGGGGACAAGCCATCATGTTCATGTAGGGATCTGAATGTTCCCAGAGTCATTGGTGCCTGTGTGCTTGGATTTGATTCAACCTACTCCTAAAATGAAAGAAATGGGCTATGAAAYGAACGTCCTTGGATTTAGATGAGGATAGTGAAGCACTCTCTTTGGAGGAGGATGGAGACCTTTCTGACACCTACTAGAGGTCAAGCACAGGTATGAGGAATGTTGATTGCTGAGGATAATTTACTTGTGTCTAGTGATGATGACYCCAGCTCTGCTCCCTGCATAAGGTTAGAGAAAGGATGCATATGTTTGCAGGCAGTAGATTTGGAATTCTGAATTATGAGAATTTGACATGCTGGGACCTTCCTGCTGAATAGGAGACCTAGAAACAGGGTCAGGAGTGCTCAGTCATGATGTGTGACTTGAACACTGCCAAGCATTAAGACTGTAATCTTTATTTATAGCAGCTCACCTGAGGAATGCAAGTGAAGAAAAGGCTTTGAGAGACAACTATTGCAGCTTATTTACAATGGCTCCATTGGATCCCAGCGCTCTCCAGGCACATGTTAAAGCAGCAATAAAGGAAGCAAAAGCATTTTTAAAGTCAGCCTTTATAGCTTAGCATTGGTGACATGTATTCAAATCATCTACACACCATCAAACATGGGTTCCAATTTAAATGTCGCTGTGGAAGATCTTTCATTCATCTGCTCACAAAGTCATTTTTCACCTTGCATTTTGTAGCAATGAAGAGGAGCACAGAGAAAAATAAGACAAACAAATAATGATCTATGCTTTTAATGTAAAATGTAACCCTTGAAATCTCTTACTGTATTTTTTTTTAAATAATCAGTCAAGGAAAAGGGAAAAATAAAAACAAAACAAAGCTACCGTGAAAGGAAACAATAGACAAAAGAAAGTTTTCTTCTTGCTTATATACTAGAAGTAATAATCAAATGAAATAACCATTATGGCTCATCATCTAGCTGCCAAAATCAATGTTTACCTTTCCATTTATTACCACTGTTATGATCAACTTGAGCAATCACGGGAAAAAATAAAATTAAGTGGAGAAAAGCTTTTTCATAGCCCTTAAATCTAACCTCATGAAAAATTGCTTCATTTTCCAGAGTACTGAAATGTGTGGTATTTTAGGGGAGCAATCTGAGAAAATGCCTTATATTTCCTTTTTTTTTTTTTTTTTTTTTGCTAAGAATACAGTTAATGCTACATCAGATTACAACAATCTTCTAGAAATTGAAATATTTGACACACTAAAATGTCCAGTAAACATAAATTACTGGTTTCAGTAATTTATCAGTAACCATTACTGATTACTGGTTACTGTAAATGACCAATAACCATTTTTTTAATCTTAGAATATTAAAAGGATAATCCATGAAAAGTATAATATAGTATCTATATCTGAAGTCACTATTAAACTATTATTTCAATTTTGTCTCAATGGCACCTATAGAACAGGCACACAAACAYACATTACATGCTAGCAATGACGAAGAAGGTCACCAACAAGCACCAGGCCAAAAGTATTAATGCTAATGGTGAAATATTGCTTCCAATGTTAGGGTATAACCTAGTGGCTGGATTTTTCACCTTATAGGGGAAAATATTTCAAATCAAAATAATTTTAAGAAGGTTTCTGATGGACAAGAGACTCTGACTTCAATCCTATACTGTCAAATACACGCTTAGTTTCCCTTATCAGAGGGAGAGCTTTGAAWTTTTCCCTGAAAGGTCCTTTTTCTGCAGTTGTATGATTGAAGAACTT